ATTTTCCGTTGATTTCTCATTGTAGGCCTTAACAGTGCTGCGCAGGTGTGGCACGATAAAGATCCCTCCCTGTTCCAAGGCCGTAAGTGCCGAGCATAGGCCTAAATTTGCAGCCCTTCACCGGTAATGATGACGTCTCCATATCAGTGAAATATTCTGGAGAGGGACGTTTAACAGTATATAATCAATCAATCAATCAATCTATCTATCTATTAGGATATTCAGAACAAATAAATCGTATCGTATGAAAGATGATAGTCGAGGGTTTGAATTCCACTGTGGGACGTGAGACCGGTCCTTCGGATGAAACCGTATAAACCGAAGTCCCATGTTGCAGAAGGTGATGGCACATAAAAGATCCCTCACTGCTCAATGGTCCTAAGTGCCGTGTATAGAACACAATTTGCAGCTCTCCACCGGCAAGTGGTGGCTTAAAAAATACGGACGGTAAATAACACATAGACTATCAATCAATCAATCGAAACTGATATCGCAGTGGGTGAGCCATTCGTTTTTATAACATGTAAACAAACCATAGCATTTCTATACATCTTTTGTATGTGTAATTCTATGACATTTCTTCTGAGGTCTAATTTATCAATTGTTTCAGAAAGTATTAGCTTATCCAAAAGATGTAAATCAAATTATAAAACTAAGGACGACAGAACTCATGAAGGTATTTCATGAATCCTCAAAATTGTCTTCTTAAGGTTATCCGATCCTCAGGTTCTGAAAATCAGGCATCGAGTAATTGAACATGCTCACAAAGATGTCTCTAAATTTTCAAATTAAAATGTATTTACCCACGGTGTTTCTTTAAAAATCATCTTTAAATTTAATCATATTATATAGGGAAAATTAGTAAATCTCGAATAATTTTTCAGGAAATGTGATTTGAACTACCTACTGCATATTTTTTAATTGATAATTAATCAACAAATACATTTTAGGAATAAAAATCATAGGTATCCAGGCTTTTAAAGAAAATTACATTAATTTTACACTTATTTGGACTTTACTTTCTCCTACTTACTTCCATTGTTTCATAATGCATAGTGTATGAAGTGTTTCCTTTCAAAAAAAAAAACACCGTAAATCAATTCTAATTTCAAATCATGCATATAAACATTGGTAAATATGGCTAATTAAAAGAAATTTGATTTTTTTTAAATTGGCAAGTTTTACTTCATTTTGTGAGGTACAAATTTCAACTTTTTAAATACCGTTTGTTAAAACTTTAAAGAACATTGAATCATACGTAGAGGCATAAAATGAAAATTGTTGCATGTAAAAATTTCAATTTCAAGCTTTATTTTAAAACTTTTTGAATTAAATTATAAATTAAAGAGTTATACTTCATGGCTGAGGATCGTATATCCTTAAACAGAACCTTCTGCTATTCTTACATGTATCTCCTTCTTTTGAACTTCATTTGAAAACATTTATTTCGAAAGTTATGACCATGAAGTTAAACATTGCTCTCATTCACAATAAAGAGGTCATTCAAATGAAATGCTTTTAAAATTTCACATGGAAAAACAGTATATGTATCATAACAATCAACATTCTATAGTAAATTTTCTAATATAAAATTTTCTGTATTGCCATCTGATTAGCAAAGCGCATTATGTGTTGTCTAAACACATTTATAACAGAACATATAACATACTGTAAAATCACATATTTTCGAAGGGCCAATTTTTCGTGGTTTGAGAAAAATAAATTGGTTCATGGGGAATTATATTCTTGGTTGAAGAATTGTTCATTAGTAATATATGTGTAAAACTGCATTTTGTGGTGAATATTCATTCACTGGCTTCTTCATACAATTAAAACCACGAAAATTAACCCCCATGAACATAAATAAATTTCACAGTATTCAGCATTTTTCATCTCTCCCTCTCCGACGGTGACGAAAATTCTTACTTATTTTATTACACAAGTTCTTGACAACAGCAACTATATCCGGTAAAATTAAAACTATTATAGTAAAACTTATCAGAAAGACCCCAAAACTTCCTATCTGTACAGCACTAGGACGAGATTCGTAGACGCTGATCAAGCTTCTGTTATAGGCACTGGTGTTTGATTTATGTACGGATAGGTTCTTCTTCATCTCTAGTATCCATTCTTCAAGCATATCATAAGTGATATAGCTTCTGAGTCCCTTTGTTGTATCTGAAAAACAAAACAACCCTTATTTAAGGAGGTTTGATCCTGACCTTTGGAGCAGATTTTGGTCTGGGCCTTTATTTCTAAAATTCTGCATCATTTTTAAGTTCTAACATTCAATCTGGATTCTACAATGCAAATTGAGCAATATCCAATGAAATTCCCTTTAAATAGGATTAAGCCATTTTGTGGCGGAAGATTATTTTAAAAAACCATATTATTAATTTTCCCCTTTTGAACTACATTGTAGGTACAGTTCTATTAATTTTAGATTCCTACCTTCCTATGCTGGTTGCTCAGAAAGCTGTTTTTGAAGTGATATGTGTAATGCGGATTCTCAAATATTTATAAGATTATTTCAACGAACTATGACACAATAATAGTACATTGTAAATATGTTCAGAAAGTCCAGGAAACAAATTGAGCCAATTTAACATAAAATTGACGATTTTTAAAATAATGTTTCAAAATTTAAATCATTTACCCCACTTCTCATGTTCTTTTCTGAATATTTAAGATTCTTTTGACCAATTTGCTTAAAGCCAGCAAAAGTTTAAGACTTTAAAATACTTTTATTGCTTATTAAATTTTCAGTTCCAGAAAAATCATATTTTGTGAGTGCAGAAAGGTCAAATACAGCAAAAATCGTTTAGTACGAACACGGATATTGCGAATTTTCGGATATAGCGAAGTTATCTTGGATCCCCAGCTATATAAATTTAACGAATTCCTCATATGGATATAACAAATTACGGATATAACAAAGTAATTTCATAGGTCCCAGTGACTTCGTTATAACCGAGTTTTACTGTAATTAATTATGCGAATCAACTTTTTCTTTGTCACAATTTTAAAGTGTCTTTGATTAGAAAAACTTATAGTTTATTTTGTTCCATGCCTAATTTAGATCAATATATTGGGAGGAAAACGTCGAAGATGTTACTCTTTATTAAGACATAAATTTCAGTGCAAAAAGGTCATATTAAATGTCCTGTAGAGCGAAAAAAGCATATTGACCCCATTTCTTTTTATTTGGTTTTTAATTTACCTGTGTGTATAGAAACTAAAAAATATACTTGACAAAAAAGGTTGAGACTTTAAATATCAGGATCTAACCTTGTTAAGTGGCTTTTTTAGATTTTAAATCAAATGATAAGAAAATAGAAAGGAATTCTACGTCTATTTTAACCCCCCCCCCCCCCCCCGGCTTGAAAAACAGGAGGGTATATAGTAATCAGCATGCCCAACCGTCTGCATTTATGTCCGTCTGTCTGGTATGCTTTGGGGTACCCATCTCTTATCCGCAAATCCTTTCATACCACTGAATGCAATTTGTTGAAATTTTTACAGAAACTTTATTACATAATGCCATTGTGCACCTCCCGTTTTATTTTTTTTATCCGACACATATTTTGGGGTTTTCCCTAGCAAAACATAGACACTGCCATTATATTCATTAGGGAGGCAGGGGTATCATTTAGTGAGCTGATTGCTCACAATACCTCTTGTTACATTTAAAGATTTCTTGAAAAGCTGATAATTATCCCTATGAGATCGATTCGATTATTTGTGCATTATTTTAGTTTGTGGGGATCATTTTGTTTATTTTAAACACAATTCTGTCTGTTTGGAAATATCAAAAATACCAACATTCTAAACGTTTACAGTAATCGTGCCTGGGTGAGAAACTTTAAGAAGAAGGGTGACCAATACAATTTACGACCATTCGTCTCCCAGAAATACTGATTATTTGTTCAGTGTTCAATGTTATTATTTTTTACATACATTTAACTATTTTGCTGGCAAAACAAAAAATATAAAAATATAAATCCAGGGAAATACATTTTTATTTATGAGAAAATAGTACCTTCGCACTGCAAACTGGTATCGGTCCACTTTCCAGACATACAAGTAATTGTATTTTCAGCATTTGTTGGTCTATATCCATAGCGACATGCGTACATGGCTACGTCATTGTCAACTAGAAAATCAGCATTTGTTATATTAGGAACCGGGCCGCATGATGATGCTGAAATTATAAAATGGGGTAGAGTAAAAACAATACTCTTTATCAATAGTTAACGGTCGTTATCATGAAAAGTTAATTTGCCATTATTTTGTGTGTTTGTTGAATTGACGTGCCAACATAACTCTAGAAACGGGGTTTTGAAAGAAGACATTTATGAAATATTAAATATGTTTTTTTAAATGCTACTGACAATAAATTACTTGTCTTTATTCCTACATGCTTAAGTCCGGCGAGATTCTAGATGATTGATTATGCAAGGTGAAACCCTAATTTAGAGATTATTAAGTGGTCCTCCTTAGCTAGGACAATATAATTCATGTTTTTATTTTCTGACAATCATAATTCTAACTGTGTCGCCAAATGCTTACTGTGTAGTATGAGTAAAATTTGAATCGTAACTGTGTCGGGCATGCACAGAAAAACAGCGCTAGAAGAACCCTGACTTTGGTATTGATCGTTACAAGACATTTGAGAAATTTCAACCTTAGCAATGAGGAGCAATACGGTGGAGTCAGTGTTTCACAAACCGATCTTGTTAAGCCTCCGTAATCGAATATATTTTTGTCACGGTGGGGTAATAGCTTTTACATTTCACTGGAGTATTCCTTGTGACAAGACCTTTATTTGGGTACCACCAAATTTGACTACTTGGCCTTGACATTGAATATTGAACCATATACATTAAAAAAAAGTTTAACCTTGGCCAAAACATTTGATCAATTGGTGCTTGGGCTTTCATACCTCACAATGCTCACATAGGTATTCACTGTGTCAAAATCTTTTGATGAGTATAAAAAAATTACTTAACGTTTTGACTCTGACCATGAACCTTGACCCACTTTCCAAAAACTTCAATATAATTTTAGTCATAATATTTAAACAATTAGTACTAGGGCTTCATGTTTCACAGGAATATTTCTAGACCTCCCTCTTGATACCAAATCTGATCTTTTGACCTTATAGTTAGACTTAAATTTGAGAAACCTCAAGCTTTGGATCGGTGTTGCACATTTCGGTTTTATTGTTTGCATATTCTATTCGAAAAAAAGTAAAGCATAAAACTCCAAGAATTGTCAATTATAAGAACAAAAGCCTCCTGACTTTCTTTAGACATGTAGACATATTTAGCAATTGATGTCATAATGAAGTATATTATTATGTATGTTCTTGTTGTTTTTTTATACAAATAAATTCTCCTTTTCACAGTATCAAACCACTTAAACCTCTTTAGTTACTTTATGTCAATGATACATGTATTACATATGTATAATTAATAAGGTAAAAAACATACAATTGCAACATATAAACTGTCAAAACAAAGTTTTATTTTTTTTAAATGGTACTGAATGACATGAAATATAGTGAAAGCCTCCTACCATAGCAGATGAAGTTTGTTTTCTGCCACTCAGATTGTAAGCAGTTTATTGAGTTGGTTCCAGATTTTGCAAGAAAACCCTGACGACAAGAGTATAAAGCAACATTCTCAGAGACCATGACGTCAGCGTTAGTAATGGCGGGTGGCTCAGGACAAGATTCTGTAAAAATATACATACATCCAGTAAAAAAACTATACTTAGTTGATATTTTAAGATATTAACAATATATTAATTCATTAACATGATTTACAGATTATGTATACCTTTTTGACTTACAGTACTTAAAGAATATAGTTTGTTGCATACCTTTAATACAACCTTTTGAAAAAAATATATTTCTGATTTTTGAAAACTAAAGTACCGGTACATTGGAACATGGGAACAAAAAAAACATTCATTTAATACAATTTAACACACTATTTTTATATGTTCAAGATGTATAACGATCTTGATCCTTACTTATACATTTAAAGTCAGTAGATGGCCAGGTACTGTTTCTGCACTCGATGACGTCATCTGTATTTTTCATAGCGAAATATCCCGTTAGGCAGTGATATTTTGCTCTATTGTCCTGCACAAAAACTGTTGTATTTTCAACTGCAGGAGGTGTGGAGCAAACAACTTTACATGAAAAAAAAGTTTCAGGATTTTACTTTAGTAAAAATTCTGTTAAGAAATATTTTTTCAATTAGTTATGTAATTCTAATATTTTTCTCATATATCTACAAACGAGTTACGTACCTCTGCAGAACATTGAAGTCAAAGACCATGTACCCTCTACACAGCTAATTATGACGTTATCTGAACTTTCAGTGTATCCTGGTTTACAAAAGTACAACGTCTTGCTACCATTAGTCACTCCTTCATATATTTTATAAGCATTTTCAATATCAGGAGGGATAGGACAATCTGCATTGAAATATAGTTTCATAATTTCAAATTCAGTCTTAGAGATATACAGTAGCTGGAATAAATGGCAACGAAATTCGAACAAAGAATATGAATTAAGTTAAATATTTTCTATATTACCATTTATGTTTTCGAATGGTCGTGTAATTTACAGTGATGAACACAATGTTTTATAAAATGAAAAAAAAAAATTGTTACACTTTTAACAGATTTTGCAAAGAAACGTTGCAATATCTTGTTCATGAATATTTAATACCTGTAGAAATGCATCTAGTCTTTGACCAATCAGGCGAGCATAATTTTGTACCATTGCAAGGCGTGCCTACATAGAAAAAACTAGATTGATAGGAAATTGAATTTAATGTTTTTGCATAATCATAATTTTTTATCTGTAAATCTTTATTAAATCAAATACTTAATACCTGTTATTTCAATAACTTTAACGATGACTTCAACAACGTCACTTTCTTGATTACTATGCCCGTCACCCCACTTTCCACCCACGTAAACCAAATGTCCATTTGTATTTGTCTGGGATGGTCTCCAGAGCATAACTTCTGTCTCATTGTATCCGTATATTATAGCTCCATATGGGTCATCAGAGGTATCAATCATGGCGCTACCACCGGCATGAAACATGAATCCCTCGTTGTTTGGAGATGATACTTTCATCTGATAGAATTAAGCAGGAAGCAAGTGTATAGAAAACATGGAACAAGGTATATGAGGTTAAAGAAAGTTCGGGTATATTGTTGTTACTCATGCCCGTCCGTCCGTCTGTCACACTTTTCTTCCCTGAACTCCTCCTACATTTTTCACAGTAGCTGAATCATCTTTTGGGAGATGTTTGGTGGAGTCATGTAGATGTGCAGTAAGGTTTCGGAATTTTGATTTTGCCCCGGGGGATCAAATGGGGGTCGAAAAATGACGTTTTTTATGCTAAAAGCCCCATCTTCCCTGAACTCCTTTTACATTTTACTCAACAGCCTAATCATCTTTTGGGAGATGGTTGGTGGTGTCATGTAGATGTGCAGTAAGATTTCGGATTTTTGATTTTGCCCCGGGGGATCAAATGGGGGTCGAAAAATGACGTTTTTTTTTATACGAAAAGCTCCTTTTTCCCTGAACTCCTTCTATTTTACTCAGCAGCCTAATCATCTTTTGAGAGATGGTTGGTGGTGTCATGTAGATATGCAGTAAGGTTTCGGAATTTTGATTTTGCCCCGGGGGATCAAATGGGGGTCGAAAAATGACGTTTTTTATGCTAAAAGCCCCGTCTTCCCTGAACTCCTTCTTTATTTTACTCAGCAGCCTAATCATTTGATCCCTAATTGTGGCCTGACCCTAGCCTTTGAAGTGATGATTAGAAAAACTAGAAATATGTCTATAGGACATGAATGTCCCGCCGGATGTGTATTACTAATGGTACATGAAAATATGTATTAGTGTATAAAGTTTGATGAAAATATCTTAAACAGTTTTTTCAGAATTGAAACTGAAATGTAAATAAATTGGATATAGATAATAAATTCTCATCAAATTATGCATAAGTGCATGCTAAACATAAAAATGTCTTAAATTATTTCTTTAAAACTAAGCAAAAATACAAATTAAAGAGGAGGGAGGTCAAGGTCACAGGAATGTGCAAGATGAAGTTTTTGATGCTCGAAATATTTTGTTGCAGGTAAAGTACATGTCAAATATGAAAGTCTCATCTCTTTTCAATCAAAAGTTATATAGAAATATATAATATAATATTTTTGAAAAGTAGGTTAAACTTCTAGGTCAAGGTCACAGAGTCAAAAGTCATGATATATTTAGAAAAGTCTTTTCACATGTAATATACATGTATAATTTAGATGCCATATCTTTTCTCTTTCAAAATGATTAATTTAAAATGTTATTTTTTGGAAAGTAGGTAAAATTTTAAGGTCAAGTCTCACTTGGGTTAAAAAATCATAGCACATTTAGAAAGTTTTGTGGTAATGTACATGTGAAATATGAAAGCCCAATCTCTTATTATTCAAAAGTTACGACCGAGGTTAAATTTATTGTGACAGATGCACATACTGTCAAAGATGGCCAGACTGACAGACAAATAAGATTTAATGTTCCCTCCCTTTCCCCAAAAACGGGGGACAATAATGCCCTTGCTGTTCTTGAGAAGAAGATTTTTATGATGGAAAAAATCCCCTGCATATTTCTTCACGCAAATCAATATTGTGTTCTTATGTCATTTAATTGTTTGTTTGTTGTTAAACATCCCTCTCAGGAATTGTTCACTGAAATGGAGACACCACCACTTGAAAAATATTGAGGACAAGTCAGATTTGAGGTCAACATTCATTTTAGGAGTTTTCAACCATTAAGACGCAAAGAGACATGAACTCGATCCTTCCCCTCACCCCTTCCCAGACCCCTGTTTATTCATGACATGTATGCAAACTACTACTTGTTTTTACATTAAAAAAAATGTTAATAGCCCATATACAAATACTTTTATGTGGTCCATCTCTTTGAATGATTTTCATTCCTAATTCTAGGAGGATAGGTTGATGAATAAAATGTCAAGCAATCTTATCATTGATGCACTTTTATTTAATTTAATGCAGTCATATTGTGAACATTTCCAGTTAGAATCATTAGGAGAGTGGGGATGACCTCCAGGGGGTTCAAAACATTTATACCATTAAATTTACATAACATAATAACACAAAAAGCAAAATTATATATAGTCAAATGGAAAACGTTTCCTACTATTTAGGAGTCACATGATCATTTGTCATTACTGTTTACAGGGACAGGGAGTGGATTGGGAGATCCCCCCCCCCCCCCGACTTTGCAGGACTATATATATACTGAAGCAAATAAAAAAGACTGGATACCCACTCTAGAAAACAGACACCACCATAACTTCTCCTTTTATTTGCTTCTCAGGAAATTCTGGTCTGGAAATCCCCCCTCCCTCCGAGAAAAAAATTCTGTATCTTGTAACTGAATGTAACGTCGATAACGGGCGATAACTCTTCAGAATGGGAAATTAGTCTTATTGCAGCATCGGATGACCTTTGATCCTTTAAACTTTAACCTAACCAGTTGCATTTCAGACTATTTTACCAAAATCTATACCAAAACTTGTACTTACCGACTGCCATAAGTCCCGTCAACTTGAAATATAATCCAATTAAAACACAAAATAATAATACATGCAATGATGTGTACACAACACTAGTACTGCACGTGCAGTGCTATCTAAAAATGATAATGGTAAAACTAGTACTTAAGTTGGGTACGTGACGCAAGCCCAATGTTATGCAGGTCTTCAGATACATCATCGGAAGCAAATTTAAACTGTGGGGGGGGGGGGTCTAAGTGTAAAAAAAAATTGTACCTTCAAAAAAAACCTGACAAGCAAAAAAAAAATAAAAAAAGGAAATGTGCATTTTCCAAACACGAAAATCCTAATTCGTGGGGGGGGGGGGGGGGTAGGTTCGAACTTCAGTACCAATTTTTTTTTTCATTACACCACCACTGTGGAAAGTTAGGGGGGGGGCAAAACCTACGAAGATATGTTCAATGTCTATACTAAGTATATATTTAGAAAAAAAGTGGGGGGCTAAGCCCACAACCACCCACCCAACCCTTCCGACGCCGATGTACATTTAAATTATAAGAACAAATTTAAGATTATTATTTACAAAAGATATTTTATCTTAACTTTGCCATCTAGGCCTATTTCCAAAAAAAGGAAAATAGGGTGTGTTTGTGTGTGTGTGTGTGTTTGTGTGTGGGTGTGTGTGTGTTGTTGGGAGAGGGGTGGGGGTTGACTAAACTGATTGGGTATATGGCAGCTTTCAAGGTGTTTCTGCCTAATCAAATATAAAAAAGTTTGTACATTTTGAAAAAAATCATCAAAAACGCTTTACACTAATTTGAATAATATTATTTGTTGTTGATCTATATGAGAAAATAGATTTGAAAAGTTCCAATTATGGGCCAAAAATTTATATACCCCCTTTATCAAACCTAATTTACATCATTAATTAAATTCTGTTGTTTAATTTCAGATTGGTAATGAATTACGAATATGAAATACCTATAAGATCGAGGCCCATGGGTCGCATGGTCACTTGAGAATATTATGCTCAATTTGATGAATACATGGAGGCCCTATTATGTAAATTATTGAATTATATTGACTTTTTCATTGGTAAAGCCCAATTTAAAGGAGCGTGCATTTAGAGGCAAACACCTTAGTGCGGGTATTACTGTCTCATGACAGCATCTAGTTTTGTTTGCTTTCCTTTGTATATAAATTACCTACACTGCCAATTTCATCACATGAACTTTATTTAGATAAGATACATGTACATTCCCAATTGCGACTTTAGAATCAAAATTATTTGGCCATGTGCCAATTTTGACAATAAATAAATTATTAGTATTCCATTAGAGGCTGCTCCGATATTTCTTTCGTTTTGATGAAAAAATACTATATAGATCTTTTTTATTCATAAAAAAGCTCAACATATTCATTAGAGGGTTATACAACACCAAACATAACCTTTGTAAATTATCAAACTAGCATAAAACAATAGATAATTATACACTGTACGACCTGTTTAATGTCAGACTATTTTTACATGCCTTAAAATTAAGACTTACCAGAACAGAAACCAATGTTGAATTTAGATCATACACCGAATCCAGGCTCACTCGCTCGACAGTGTTTATGTCGTTCTTATCCAGTGTGAATTGTGTTGAAAAATGTTTATTACAGGAATCCAGTATCCAGGCCTGGATATATAGGCTAGCGGTGTGGCCTCTAAAGCTTTCTGCAAGAGCTCCCCATCCATCGTATGCACAAGCCACATAATCTGAAGAATGTAAAATCTACACAGCTCTAGAATGCTTCAGTATAAGTTTCAGCTTTTCGAGGCCAGTGGTTCTTCGGGAGAAGAGGTTTTTCCTATATATATTTCAATGTAAAATTTGGATTCCCTATTGTGACCACTTGATATCCCGGGGGTCATGATTTGAACAATTTAGAATCTTTCCCAGAAACATAAGTTTTGACATTTCTGGCCAAATAGCTCTTAAAAGGATCTTTCCTGTATATTTCAATGTTTAACTTGGATTCCTTATTGTTGTCCCGCCCTACCACCGGGGGCTCATGATTTGAAAAATGTAGAATCTTGATTTACACTACCCAGAGATGCATTCACACAAGTTTCTGCTTTTCTGGTCCAGTGGTTCTTGCGAAGAATATTCTTAAATATTTCCTGTATATTTCAATGATAAACTTATGGTGGCCCTTTCCTACCCCGGGGGTCATGATTTGAACAATTTAGAATTTACACAACCCACGTATGCTTCCACAAATGTGTCAGCTTTCTGACCGAGTGGTTCTTGTGAACATGATTTTTAAAGTTTTTTTCCTAAATACTGCAATATAAAAATTGGATTCCCTATTGCGGCTGGCCCTTTCCCCGAAGGTCATGATTTTTATAATTAAGAATTTACACTACCCCAGAATGCTTCGTAATAAGTTTGATAAAAATCGTCCCAGTGCTTCTTCAAAGGAAGTTGAAACTGTGAAAACTTTACGGACATAAAGCTAGACAGACAGACGGACAACAGTTGCTGCAGAACTTTAGCTCTCCGAAAAAATATTTTGACAGACCGGAGAGCTACAGGCTACCCATTGAAAAAACTGCACATTTTTTGTGTACAAAAATGCGCTGTTTCTCGATTTATTTCTCCATGTTTTAAAACTGTCACCTCAAAATATTAATAACCGTGTGTTCCTAACATATTCGTTTACTTTTTCGACGACAAAACATTCCTTATAATTGTTGCTGATAGCCCTCCTGGTCCTGAAATCGAGATAATCAAACATGTTGCTTATTTATACTGCCAGTTTGGTTTGAAAGATAATTCGGTCCAACACTCTTCTTGCAGAAGTCAACTTCTAGAGTACTTAATAAAGAATTGATGATTTGTTTAAATCTATCTTTTTTGCGATTGAGGTAAAGATTTAATCCATAACTAAGCGCAACTTTTTGTGTGCAATAAATAATATTTTCTCCGGAGAGCTAGAGTTCTGCAGCTAGGACAATAGGTGATCAGAAAAGCTCACATGAGCTTTCAGCTCAGGTGAGGTAAAAAAACAAGTAAGAAACTGCAAAAAAAAAAATAAATAAAATTTAGTATAAACAAGTGTTTTTTTTTTTCTTACATCAGATACTTATTTTTATGATAGAGCGATAACTATGCTCACATAAAAACCTTACCGTACATAGACCAAATACGGATTTCTTGATCATTAAATGCATAAACAGTCCCGCAGATAGTTTCATGAGTTCCGAACACCCGTGAATTAAATGTCACACCTACAATAAAATGCCATAAATAATATCTTTAAAAATTTTTTTTAATCGTCTTGGGTCTATGATACAAACTACAAAAAGTTAAAGTTTACAAACTGAGAAAAATTAGGCGTGGAATTATTTCATTTGGTTAAGTTCAGTGATCGTGGTTAAACAAAATTTCGTTGGTTCTTGGAAACTTTAAAAAAAAGTTCGTACGTAACTTTAACATGTATATATAGAAGTTAAGTTTATAAATGTATAGACAAAATAGTTGTCCGTTAAATCGTGGATTAAAGTGAACCACGAAATCGACGATCATTTGGCCTCTATGAACATTGATGATTCTACAGAAAGTATGAAGTTACAATTTTGCAAAACTCACCTGCTGCCTCGGAAACATTACCATCGTTCATTTTTAACTGTACAACAACAAAATCTGGGGTTTTCTCAAGTCCATGTGTAATAATCTTATAACTGTCTCCTGGTTTAAAAAAGCAGGAATGATAAACATCTAAATAAATCTACGACTTGACTTAAAGGTACTTGGACACAGATTTGAAGTTATTATTTTCTCTATAATATCACGACTTATATATTTTAATAGCATTTTACACAAAAATTAATTAAAAATCTTATTTCATGTAAAAGATATTAAAATTTCAATTTTTTGGCGGGTTTGATTGACACATCCTTGCACTTTCACAAATTAATTTTATTCTTAATCCTTAGGAAAAGTGGCAATCTCGCTGTGTATAAATGAAAAATATTAATACTATAATCCAGAAAATTCAGAGTAGACATGTTCGAAAGCAAAACAAACACACAGTCAATATATTATCAGCCCGTGCAGTTGTGGTAAGCAGACTGTGACGATTGAACGCACCCGGTGAATTCTAAATATAAACAATAACAGAACTCGAGCCCTGTTTACA